CTCAGCAGGATCCTGAGTTACTTAGTGTAGGTAGAAAGAAACACACGCTGTGCAAGTTAGGTGTCTCCTTAGAAGAGGAGTTCTGTTTTGCCTTGCTTGGGGCAAATGAAAAGATTTCCTTCCAGAGTTCTAATCTCTTGCCCCCTATATAAGTGACTATCCCAAATTAATATGGCATATGCTAGATGTCAGTGTTATGATACAAAGAATGAATTATAACATAATTTCTAACACTGATTATCCAATTTCCCATATTGTTTTTACAATTCAAATATTACCATCTTAATTTTAAACAATTACAATGAAACAAATATTGTGTTTTCATGCCTCCAAGAAATGCAGTATTTTCAAGAGTATGGAAGTACAAAACCCATAATTATAAAACTCTTTTGTTTCCATGTGAATCTGGAGAGTTACTTTAGCTTGTTCCTCAGCAGACTGGTAACTGCCCCCCAACCCCGACCCCACCAGCATGAGCTCAAGAAGTCTGCATTTGATCATTACTGGAATGCCCAAGACAAACACGTGTGTAGCAATCAAGTAGCTGCATAATATTTTTCTATATATTGGGATGGAGTTCTAGTCTGGCACTGCAAGATAAGCACTGGACTGAAAGGTCAGTATGTACCACAAGGTTGGCTGTTCAAACTCACTAGCCGCTCCTAAGAAACCGTATACAGGGTGGCTTTGAGGGAGTACTGACGCCATGACACTTAACAACAACATATATTGGGATACATACGAATATAAACTGTCTTCAATATAGACTACTAATATAATTGCACACAACATGTTGCTATTACATGCTGTCGAGTCATTTCCAACTCATAGTGACCCTGGATCTCTGTTTTCATGGACTTTTGTTGTTGTTGCATGCTGCCGAGTCAGATCAGACTCACAGCAATGCTGTATAGGGTTTACGAGGAGCTACTGGTGGGTTTGAACCACTGACTTCATGGTTAGTGGTCCAGTTTTCTCTGACTTTCGTGGCATCAAAATAAAATGGCAGGAAGACAATAAAATGACTACAGTCTTTAACAATGCTTAATATTGAAGTCATGACTCCATTTATAATAATTATTTCATTTCCTTTTCTTTCTTTCATCCAAAAAGCCTGGGATAAAGCAGGTAATCAGGGTACATTTTCCTTTTCACTAACTTACCTGAGAACTTAGGACGTTAAGTGAGTAATCCCTAAGATCTCCCATCAAACAGTAGTACTTAGGAAGAAAACCAGTATTCTAGAGAATGCCTAGATGTAAACATATCATCACCTCATTTCTAAATAAAGAGGTTAGTCTTGTAAAGGATATCATGACAGGGCAGTGGGAAAGTAAGATATGGAAGACAGATCCAGGAGAATCTAAGCCATAATGATTGTGCTGAGCTTCAAAGTCAAACGTGTAAGATAAGGAAATGTTTGCTGAGTGATCAAGCTTAGGGATCCCTCACTTAACGTCCTAAGTTCCCAAGTAAGGTAGTTAATCTAAAAGTCTGTGGTTAATTTATAAACAGAACACTGTAATATAAGCACAGAACTGCAACCACAAGGTCAATGGTTCAAAACCACCAGCCACTTCCAGAAACCTTATACAGGGTTGCTGGGAGTAAGAACCAACTTGCTGGTACTTAACAACAATTTTAATACAAAACATTTCTTGTTTTAAAAATTATTTCATTGTAATTACGAAGAAAGCTTACACAGCTAATTGTTGTTATTGTTGTTGTTAAGTGCCGTCAAGTCCGTTCTGACTCACAGCAACCCTACATAGGGTTTCCAATGAGCAGCTGGTGGGTTTGAACTGTCAACCTTGTGATCTGTAGTCCAGTGATGATCCACACCACCAGACCAGAAGTCCACACAGCTAATTAGGTTCACATTTAACAATTTGTTCATTGATCTTGGTTCCATTTTCTACACTGTGTAAGCATTTCCATTCTGATTATTCTGTTTCCAATAATCTAGCTCCTCTGCCTCCTTTACCTGCTCATCTTTGACTTAGCATAAATATCCTGGTGTGGGACTATAGGAAAAACACTTGACTGCAAGGTTGGTTTGAACCCAAAGGTCAGCAGTTCCAACTCACCAGCTGCTCTTCGGAAACCCTCCACTACAACTTCAGAACCAACTTGACAGCACTTAACAACAAGAAGTCTCTTACGGATGGTTATTGAAAGCCATGCAGTACTTGTGGGTGATACTGCTTATTTCAAAGGCCAATTTATTAGTTATCAGCAAGGTTTCCTCCAGGCATGCATTCAGTTTCCATTTGTAAAGGTATCTCAGGGCGATAATCTCAGAGACCAGGTGTGGCGCTATAGGATAAGCACTCGGCCTCAAGTCAGTTTGAACTGTAAGGCTGTCGGTTCAAACTCACCAGCCACTCATCGGAAACACTATACAAGGTCGCTATGACTCAGAACTGAGTGGACGGCACTTAACAACAACAGGGTGATAATTTCAGGGAATCTTCTAGTCTATACCAGTACAGTAAGGAATGGTCTTTTTTTTTTTAGGAATTTGAGCCTTGTTCTACATTTTTCTTCAATTTTATGTGTGATCACCGATTATGTCTATGCAAATGCTTTAAACTGTTTGCATCATGATAAGCTTTGCATATCATTGCAGTGGGTGTTCCAGAACACTTGACTGTGCTCATGAGGAACCTGTACCTAGGCCAAGAGGTAATCCTTCAAACAGAACAAGGGAGTATGAAATGGTTTAAAATCAGGAAAGGTACGTGCCAGAGTTGTACTCATTAAGCCTACTTATTCGATCTGTTTGCTAAGTACATAATCCAAGAAGCTGCATTATAGAAAGAAGAATGTGACATCAGGATCGGAGGAAGTCTCAATAACATCCTGCAATATGCAGAAGATACAATCTTGCTTTCTGGAAGAGGATTTAAAATACTTATCAAAGACCAAAGCCTTCAGTATGGGTCGCACCTTAAAGTAAGGAAAACAAAAGTCTTTACCATTGAACCAGTAAATAACAACATGATAAATGGAGAAAAGATTGAAGTTATCAAAGACTACATTTTGCTTAGATCCACACTCAACACTGGTGCAAGCAGCAACCATGAAATCAAATGATGTATTGCATTAGGCGAATCTGTTTCACAAGACCTCTTTAAAGTGTTCAAGAGTGAAGACAGCAGTTTGAGGACTGAGGTGGGCCTGACTCATATGCATATGGAAGTTGGACAATGAATAAGGAAGACTGTAGAAGAGTCTATGCATTTGGATTACAGTGTTGGAAAAGAATATTGAAAGTACCATGGATTGCCAGAGAACAAGCAAATCCGTGTTGGAAGAAATACAGCTAGAATGCGCCTTAGAAGCCAGGATGTTTAGACTTCGTCTTTCAGAATTTGGGCATACTATCAAGAGGGACGAGTCTCTGGAGTAGGACATCATGCTTGGTAAAGTGGAGGGTCAATGACAAGGAGGAAGACCCCAATGAGATGGACTGGCACAGTGGCAGCAGCAATGGGCTCAACCAGAACCACTGTGAGGATGGCACAGGCTAAGGCAGTGTTCTAGTATCTTGACGTTAAAAGTCAAAATCAACCTGACGGAGATGAACAACAACACTGTGTCCCTGGCCCAAACGGTGGTTGGTTGAAGCTGAGCAACATCTAGGTCACCTGGTCTCAGAATAGATGAGCCTGTGGTCCATGTGAGCTCTCAGTCCTGTGGACTAGCTTTTTTGGCTAGTCTCTGGTTTCCTTCTTAGTCTTTTGCTCCCAGTGAGTACAAACCAATGGCTGCCACTTAGATGGCCGCTTACAAGTTTTGAAGACCCTAGATGTGAGTCACTAGGCTAGAATGGGGATAACTATCTGTTTGAATAATATGCCAATGAACTGATCTGTCCCCCAAGATGTTTACTGATTTTTTTAGCCTAATAGTCTTTGTCAAGGAAGCCTGGTGGCTCTGTAGGATAAGCACTGGACTCTGAACCACAAGGTCAGCGGTTTGAACTCACTAGCTGCTCTGCAGGAGAAAGATGAAGCTTTCTGCTCCACAAAATATATACAGTCTCTAGACCTGGTCATGTAGTGGTTACTCATTGGGCTGCTAACTGCAAGGTCACCAATTTGAATCATCTAGCTGCTCTGTGGGAGAAAGGTGGGGCTTTCTGCTCCCATAAAGATTAAACCCTCTACAGAGTCGTTACGATTCAGGACACACTTGGCACATCAACATCACTGTCATCACCACAAGAACGCTATGCAGGATTGCTACAAGTCGGAACCAACCCAGCAGCACTTAACAACAAGAACGGCAGGCTTTGGCATAACAAATTGAACTTGTAAAGGGAAAAGTGAAATGTATTACTTATAAACCCAAACTAAGACATTTGATACAATGTGGACCCATATGAAAAATAATTGGTTCAATTCTAAATTTAAATTGTTTATATAATTTTTTTCTAATATACACATTTATCTTATAATTAGGATATTCAGCACTTCATTTTTTAATGCTGTTTGCTTTGAAAGAGGTTCAGGAGGTCTGGTTTACTAGAAGGAAACATCAGCCATGGCTTGTGGCTAATCAAAGACAAAGCAAAGCCATTGCCATGGAGCGGATTCTGACTCATAGCAACTCAAATCTTCTAGGACACAGGAGAATTGCTCCTTAGGATTTATGGGAGCACACAGCCTCATCTTTTTCCATTCAAAGCAGCTGGTGGGTTTGAACCACTGACTTTGAAGTTCCTAGTCCAATACGTAACCCGCAGTGAATTAACAGGATTCTCAGAAAAAAACTGCTTCATTATATGTCTTAGGCCATCAGGTGGGACACTATTGAATTAGTAAAATGTTGTCTCTCTGATCCCATTTCACTTTTTGCTCTTAACGGCTCAATTAAGATTTACACTGGTTTTAGTTGCTCTGTACAAAAAGCCTAGTAATGTAGCAAGGTGAGCTGTGAATAAAGATAGGCAGAGTGACGTCAAATCGTAGAAAAGACGAGCAGGGCTCAGTTACCTCACTGGGCTGTTGGAGGAATCTGGGTCATGAGCTGCCACGGTGCCGATAATATTCCCAACTTGGGTGGCTTCCGACACCTCCATGGGATACAGAGGGGAGGAAAACACAGGGGGCTCATCCACATCCTCCACAATTATCTTCACCGTAGTCATGTCGCTGAATGGCCCCAAGCTCAGGAAGCGAGGGTCAGCGTCTTTGTTTGCTGCTTCTATCCTGAGTGTGTAACTAGTTTTGGTTTCGAAATCCAGTTCCTGTATGGAAAGTGATTAGAAAAATTAAATTACCAATTAAATAGTCAGCAAAGCAGAGCTTTTTCATTTATGAATGTCAATAAACATAGAAATCACTGGCTACGAAAACGCACCATCAGCATTCAGAAAAAAATAATAAACAATGACGCTAATCACAGACAAGGGCCCAGGCCTTGGCACTAACTAATCCGCTCTGCTGTCAGACACTGCTCAGACAAACGCAGTTCTCAGATGTTGTTTGAACTGCAGTGGGTTGAGATTTTAAAATCTTCTCCAACAGTAATATCAGTGCAGTACTCTTCAACCATGGAATTGAACTGCACTGCCCTGAGGTAAGAATTTAAAAAAAGAAAGAAAGAAAAATGTGGCTGTCCACTGAAATTCTCACTGAAAAGGTCAGTTTCAACGATTCTGTGGGACTTCATTAGGATCTTGAGCTTCCAGGTGTTTAAAGGCAGCCACAAAGGAAGGAGGAAGTGACTGGGGTTCTGCCTTCTGTAAACACCTCTTTTCTTCTGGAGGCAGCATCTATCACTACCTCCATTGTCCCGCCATCAATACACACTATGTTTTTCCGTATTTCTACTCAGTGGTTCACAGCTGTATTCCAGGATCTCTTCTGTGGTCAGTTCTCCAAGAGGATTTCTAAGTTCCTGAGTGGCACACATGGTTAACACTCAGCTGGAAACCCCAGACAGTGGTTTGAGTCCACCCAGAAGCACCGAGGAAGAAAGGCCTGATTAACTATTTCCATGAAGATGACACTCAAGAAACCCCTATGGAGCAGTTCTAGTCTAACACGTGCAGTCTCCTAAGTCACAGATGAACAACAAAAGACAAATCCAACACCAATTTCCTCAATTGGTGAACCCGTTTTGATAGCTTTTTAAAAAAATTCTAAGGGCAATTCGCATATTGTACAAGGGCAGTACCATCTCAGAAGAAAATAATTATATGCACAATATGTAGATACGGTTTATGGCAATAAAGACTCTTCATGTTCTTTCACGGCTATGAAGACTCCTCATTCTTTTTCTCACTTTCATTTCAGCCTCACCACTGGAAAACTGTCCTCAAATATTCTTTTCCATCGAAAAATATCAATTCTCAAAATATTCAAATGAATATAGAACTTCAGAGAAATATTGCCAAATATAAAGCAAATTTCATTTATTTAGCAGTACTTAATAAAAATGCATTAAGGGAAAACTGAGCTAAAGTGTAATGTTGAGAACTGTAATTAAACTCTATCCATTATGTATATGAACATACGTGTGTGTACTCACAGAGGCATGCAAATGTTCCAGCTCATTCTACAGAGGATTTGATGCTGATCAGAATAAATCAACCAATATAGTTACATAAAGATAAAACAAGGTTTATATGATAGCTATAAAATGTATATGTAAGTGTACAAGTGGACTTCAAAAGACTAGTTGAGGCTGGCTGATAAGAAGAGAGGGCATATGCACAAGAACACTCACACTTGCAGATAATACCAACTTGACCTGGCTTCAATGACTGGATGATCAGAGCTCAACCAGAAGAAGAAAGAAGAGGAATAAAAGAGTAATCTGATACAGTTTGATGAACTTGACCTACACCTATGAATGCAGTAGCTCAAAAGAGGGAACAAATCCTTACAGCAGGATCATTCCCACCTCCTCCATACACAGAGTAGGCAGGAATGGGCAACTTGGACATACAAACTTGTAGCCCCCCATTTTGGGTAGCCAAAATGGTGGAGGGCTACAAAGGCAAGAAGTGACTGGCTTACAAGCTTTCAAGAGGGAACCTAGATACAGAGGGCATGAAGGAAGGTAGAATCTCCACTGAGTAGTATACAATCTGTCTAGGCAGGGTTGATGAAATGAAATGAGGATAGGTCTCTTGTGATACAATAGTGAATAACTGTTATCAGGACTGCTTGTGAGGGTTGGAAATGTAAAGGTAGATGTTTACCAAGGAGGGGAGTGATTAACTTTTCAGCCTAGGAGTGGAGGTCCCTGGGACCATCAAGGGAGAAGAGCGGAGAGCGGGACCCTACCCAGAGAAGCAGTGATGCCTGAGATGGAGGCAGAGACGATGATGTGGAGAGATGGCGCAGTTGGGGACTTCAGACACAGAGAGGGAGAGGGGCTGTATGCTGACGACCAGGCTTGTAGTGCATACCCTTTGGTTGGTTGATGATGCATGGAGGGGATTGTAATCATGGCAATGAAACGATGTATAATAGGATGAATGTAAAACTAATGTTCTCCCATGTAAACTATCACATAATTCACAATAAAACATCAAAAAAAAAAAAAAGACTAGTTGAAAAATTGAAATGAAAAGATAATGGAATTTAAAAAAAAAACTTTTTGAAGCTCCTTGGTATGTGTGTGTATATGTATTTGTGCATATGACATAAGGATCCCAGGTGTGGCACTATGGGTTAATGGGCTGGACTGCAAAGTCAGTTTGGACTACAAGGTCAGTGGTTCAGTTTATCTGCTGCTCCTTGGAAACACTTACACAGGGTTTGTGTGGGTCATAAATGACTTGATGGCACTTAACAACAACAATATAATATAAATGCGTTCATTCTTAAGAATTACATAGATATTCCATCATTTATTTCCAGTTAGTAGAGAAAAAGAAGTAAGTAAATCAATACTCAAAATAGGCTAACAATCCAGGCAGTCCCTGAGTTATGAACTTTGGACTTATGGACAACTCCTACTTGTCCCTTAATGTTATGCAAATTTGCCCTCATGCTGAAACTACTGAAGCACATTCTTCATCACAATCACCTTTACTTGAGCACACACTGCTTTTAAATAATCGGAAAAACTTTGAGTCTGTTCTTCCCATTACAGGAAGGTTAAGAACCAAGTGTTCCTGTTCTGGCTCACCTACAAAGTCCACTTCAAGATCAGAGACTAGATCTCATTGGTAACCTAAGAACGTTTATTGAAATGTTGACTTGTATAATGTGTCTCATCTTCTACCTTTGAGCTCCAGAGTGTGGTTTGTTCAGTAGCAGTATTCCATTGCCTACTGTGATGCTCTACATAGAGGAAGTTCAACAAGTTCTTGCTAGGTTAGAAAAATCTAGAACACAAGAGACTCTTAACTGAATTATACTTTTGACCCAGAGAATCCTGACAGCAAAGTAGGTAGGGAAGTTGCAAAGAGAAACTAATGAATTTCTTGACCATAAAAAAAGAAAGAAAGAAAAATAAAAAAGCACTTTAGAAAATTGCTTTGGGGAAGCCAAGTTTTCATCCCTAACTGAGGATGCATAGAAACATGTGGCTATGTGGCACAGAGAACACCTAATGACCAAATTCAGTGACATATTTAAGTTGACGTGTTTTGTCTGCTGTCTAAGACTATGCTTGGTATAATCTAGTTTTCACCAGACCTGGTCACATAGGAGATGACATAGCTTCAGCAGATACAAGAAGAGGTCCAGATATGCCCTTGTCAAAGACTCATCAGGTGATCCTGACACACACCCTCTTATTTTAAGAAATCAGATGTCAGTCACTAAAATTCTCTTGGATCTGTTTGTAAATTCCAACTTATTTTGGAAACTGCTAGTGGCAGAGTGGTTAAACCACATGGCTACTAACAGAAAGGTTGTCAGTTGGAGTCCACTGGGCGCTCCAAGGGAGAAAGGTGCTGCAGTCTACTTCTGTCAAGATCTACAGCCTTGGAAACACTGCTCTGTCTTCTAGAGTCACTTTCAGTTGGAAATGACCCAACAACATAAATAAAACCAAGTATTCTTGTTTACTTAGAAACCCTACACAAACACATAAACCACGAAAGATCTTTTCATATTTTTACATTACTTATAAAATTGTGAGAGAAACCGCATTTCCAAATACTAAGTGTCTCTGTATGACTTCAAAACTAAGCAAAACCGACTATCACTGAGTCAATTCTAAACCACAGTGACCCTGCAGGGAGAGCAGAACTCCACTCTAGGCAGCCAAGGCTGTAAGCGTGCTCTAAGCTGACTGCCGTATCTTCTCCTTTACATTTCAGCAGCTGGTGGGTTCAAACCAGTAACCTTCTGGGTAGCAGCTGAGTGTGATATTGTTGTTGTTAAGTGCCGTTGAGTTGGTTCTGACTGATAGTGACCCTGGATACAGTTTCAGAGGAGCAGCTGGTGATTATCCTACATCTCTATAGGATACAATGTGTTTAAAAAAAAAAAAAAAAATTGTCACCTCATGTCTGCTCACTTCAGAACCACAGAAACCTTTCTGATGTTCACTCGGGTTTTCAACATGAAGAGAAGTGACACCAAATATTCTGTATTCAAGTAAAAATTTGACTGACCTATGAAAAAGTCATTTGAAATTTACTGCAGAAATGAATGCAATTATTTTATAGCAACTTTTTAAAAAATGTGTTTGAAAGGCGACCTGAGGTAAGCTGTGAACAAGTACAGTATTATGTATGGGGATTGCATGCCTAAAAGCCATTATGAAAATAGAGCAATAAAAGATTTCGTAAGAAATGCCTGGAGTCAAGATTGCAGACAAAAGGAATTGCTGAACAAAATTACTTTCAAAGAAAATCTGAATAAGTTGGACATCTAGTTTTCAAAGAGGGTTCCTGGGTGATGGATACGATTGCTAAAACAAACTCAAGAAAAAGTTTTTGCAATAATATTGTAATTCCGGTATTCTTACTCATTATTGTTTTCAAGTGATACATTTCATACATATTAGAATTAATTAGTAAAACTATGCTTTACAATTTAAAAAAAAAATTTAAATAGCAGTCAAGGAAAGAAAAAAACACCAAAAAGGTAAAGAAATAGAAGCAGTGTCAACCAAGACCAAGTGGCATATCATAGTCTACAAAGACAACATTCTGGATTCTACCTTGATGGACAGTGACGAGGGTCTTAGAAGCTCATAAGCAACCAGCTACAATGCAAGTATTGGTCTTTCTCAGGCCAGTGGAAAGACCAGTGAGGAGAACTGAAGATGCTTAGG